AGGGAAAATCAAATAACTTTGAATATATTCTCCATCTAATCTAAGCTGTATGCAACAGAAGCGGAATGATCTTGCTTAATACAATGGGAAAGGCAGGTGACCTTCTGTTAAGGGTGGGCATAAGGAACTGCACTTCAGATCCAAGGGATCTGAAAGATTTTCCCGTTGAGTGCTCAGTGAATTAAAACTTCGCTTAAGTTCTTGAATTCTCTTCTCCAAAATTTTGCATGCATTATTTTCGTAGCAGAACTCAGTGGCTGAATCTACCTGCCACATCTGTGAATTGGGATAAGGTAACTCTTTTAAAAAAATAAAGGTTTGATTTATAGTGACAAAAACATGACTCACAGAAAGTTCAGTGCTTGGATAAACAGAAGAGTAATGCAAATGGATAGATGGCACTGTGTAAATTGTATGAAAAATACAGTAAGAGTGAATAGGAATTGGTTAAAGAGCCAAGTTAAAATGGGATAATCTATGTAGCTGTTGTATGTTTTCTTCACACTATAAGCTTTCCATCTATTGTGAAGAATTCTCACATGAAAAACAGGGAAATGGGTTAAAAAACATGTTCAGTGCTAATTCTGTCTCTATCTTGATTTTTTTCAAAGGCAATTTTTCTCTGAAGTGCCAATTAATTCTGTTCGCATGCCCAGCCTAGCCTGAGTCAGCTCAAGTAAAATCCTGATTCCCTGAAGCTGCCAGCAATCTTGTCATCGTGCCAGGTATCCAGCACATGCAGTTTTGGTGGAAATTTACCCTGAGGTCTTGGTTTCTTGAGTGTCATGAGGTATCTGAGTGTTTTCATCCAAAAGCTGAGGAACAATAACATAGGGACTCTGAAAGTTGTTGTCTTATTCTGCTGATGAGAAATGCAAACACAGAAAACTCAAGAATAATATTTATGTACAGCATTGCTTAGGTTATGATTACATATGCCCTGAATATGAAAAATGAGGTGGTACAAAACACACTCATGTTTTCACACATACAGGGCCTCAGTAAGAATTGGCTTTCTCTCATGAGGACTTTTCTTGCTTGGTACCAGGTACTAATGATTCCTGTCTGCTTAAAAAAGATCCATTAAACTGTCAAACCATCAGGGAAAATCATCATGTCTTTTGAAATAGAGCTTTAACAGTGAGAAAAATGGGAAGGATTTCTGAAATACCTTTTTTTCTTCTTTTCTATTCCAGCTGAAAATTGACTGGCAGCTATCAGCAAATTGAAGACAGGGAAACTTTCAAAAGTATTTGCCTTCTAGACTGCTGTTGTTGTCTGCAGTCTTCTTGGTACCAGATTTCTATTTGCGTCCTGCATTTTATTGGAAGTTTTTACTGAAAATATAAGAAATAATGTTTGAATTGCTTTTGGATTTCTTATAGGGGTTTTATCTTACTTTTTAAGCCTGTGAGCTGGATGTGTATTTTATTCCTTCTCAGTTTTTGTTTTGCTGCTAAATATCATCTTTTTATCCAGCACAAAGTGGAATGCAAAATAATTAAGCGAGTAATTTGTAAGTCTGTGACTACAAAATAACACTCCCCCTAACGTTCTCAGTAATTCCTTTGTAACTAAAGCCTTGACCTGTAGTAGAGATAATGACAAATTGTTTTAATCTTCTCACAGTTCTGTCTGCATTATAACTTTAAAAACCCATCCCAGTCTGCGGAGATTTTTGTTACTTCATGATGATTTATCCTCACTTAATTCCCAATGACACCTTAGTTCTAAAATGCTTACAGATTATTTTCCCCCCCTAAAGCTAGTTAAACTCCTTCTGAACACTACAGAGGGAGCAAAAATCTCCAGTCAAAACTTTTTGATGCTAGATTATCTACATGAAACAAATACTTTTAGATTTTTTGCCATCCTTTGACATTTGAAACCAGACTGCCGCCTTCCTACAGGGTTGCTTTCCGAGGCTCACAAACAACTCGGCATTATACAGAGAAGACTCAGATCAGTTTTCTAAACAACATTTTTCATGCCACACCACCCACATAAAAGAGTTTGGGGCTTTCCTTGCCTCTTCAGTCTTGCTGTACTTCCTCTTATTCCCGTGTCTCCAGTCAGCGTGGCAGTGTGTGGCCTGGAGGCTTGACTTGTGACTCCTTGGATTTGTTGGATGCAATAAGCTGATATACAAATGCCTGGAAGGATTGTCAAGGTATGCTCTCTGCACCGAGAAATTACAGTTTTTGTGGGCTTGAGAAGTGGGAACTCAAGTTCAGGCTTGAATTTTAGGTCCTTCCCTTTGCTGCATTTCTTGTAGCTTTACCATAAAGGGGAATGCTGTGTGTGTGTGTGTGTGTGTGTGTGTTCTTTGCGTTTCCCGGGGGAGACATCAAAATCATAGCTTCTTTTGAAGGATAGAGCTGTGTCCAGGTGTTGGCACAAGCTCTACTAGTGTGGTAAATGGGGGTGACCCTGTGTCAGGACCGCTGGGTCTGTGAAACACTGTAGTACCATTATTCCATGTGATGCCCAAGCATTGAGTAGCGAGGTGCAGCTGACAGGTTGTTCACACCGTGACAGGTGTGTTGTTCACCACAGCCCACCTACGGCGGCAGGCAACCAGCCTGGGGAGATGAACCTTTCTGCTGGTGGTTTAGCTCTTTGCTGGGTATAGCTGTAGGAGGACTTGTATGAATTGGGGGGAAAAAAAAACAAACGGAGAGAAACAATAAAAGGCTGTGCAGGATGCCAGCTGCTATTAGAGGCTGAAGGTTTATTTTCAGAGAATCATTTTCAGACACATTGCTTCAAGTAATTTCAGTCTAGAGAAAATGGCACCTTATACCTTTTCCTGTCTTTAGAGTGAGTTCTTATGGAAGAATGGGGCTATTCTGGGTGTTGGACAGGTTAAGCCCTGCATTTTCAGAAGAGCTCTCTGAAAAGACACTGAGCCTTGTCTGTTGTGTTTGCATAGTAGTTCTTACTCTGTGATGAATAATTCAAATAAAACTGATGGTGGGGTACAAATAATCAGAAGAGACTTTTGTGAGTATACTGTGTAATGGGGGCAGCAGACAGTTATGAGCCTCTTCCAGCTTCATGCCCTCCTCAGGACTGGGCTCAGGTGATGGAAAATTCTCATGAAATTTCCAGAATATAACAAATAATCCCCCAGCACGAAATAAACATTCTCTACCCTGGGTGGAACCGATAATTGGAAGTAAAACTGGAACTCAAAGGAGAAAAACTGCTCCTATTTTTCTTATTTTTAGTGGACAGCATTGAGAAGCAGTGTGCACAACAGTACTCGTGGGGAAGGCTACAAATAGCAAGGTCGACTAGTGAGCTACTAGTAGTTAGGAAAAAGAGTCTTCTGCATCCAGCCTTCCTCAGGTCCCACCTTATAAATTTCTCTGGGAATTTCATGTGGTCCTAAGCTTTGCATGCATGCCATCCTGATACCACACAAGGAGCAGACACCCTTTTTGCTGCGTGGGAGAGTGTTAATTGATATGTCCAAAGGGCTAACATGTATTTTTCTGGCTAGTGATCAAATGATACTTGAAAGCCCTTATACTGCCCAGTACTTGTACTGGATGGCTCTTGCAGACAACTGGATTGCTGGGAGCTACCTCAGGATTGTCTGGTTACTGAGCTTTTAGTTTGATCTTGGAACCATCTTCCTGTGTAAATAAAGGATAAACACTAGTTAGAAATGATTACCTTAAAGTATTAGATGTTTGAAGATGTCATGTGTTTCTTCATTAAAGAGCCTTTGAAAATTAGAGGTCGTCAGCCCGGTCCATGTCTGTAGTTAATGCTTTTTGCTGGTTTGATTTGATGTAGTTGCCTAATCTCATTGGGGGCAGTGTGTGGAATGTGCATCAGGGGAAAACAGCTTGCCTTAGCATGCCACCTGGTCCTGGCTTTGCATGTAACTACTTCCTCGAAAATTGGCTGTGGGGTGGCCAGAGAAGATCCTGCCTGCAGTTGGTCTGTGCAGTCACCTATGGCACATACCAGAGGGACAGTCACTTCCCAAAAAGGTTGGGCACTCAGAGCAGTGACAGCAAGAGTGTGGGCTGTACAAGGAAATGAGGGATCAGCTGCTGAGCACATCAGTAGATGAGGGAGAAGTAGATATGTTCAGAAAATAGGCAAGCACTACTTGACTGCTATGCAGTCAAAATCTACAGCCACTTTACTTTTTACCTGTGTGCATTTAAACCAGATAAGCTTTTTTTTTTTTTTTTAATGCCTTCTTTTATCTCAGTGCCAACTATTACAGGTGAGTTATAACTGAAAATACGAGGCTTTAAAAACACTGAAGTTTTACAGCTGCAGCATGTTGATAGTCCTGGATTTCCTCTTTCTCACATGAATTTGAAAGCACAGTTGTGCTCTGAGCTCAGTGCCTGCTTTTTGAATGATAAAATGGTTTAACTTAGCTTATTTTCCCCCCTCAAACCTAGGTACTAATTAAGAAATACCTGTAAGAGCAGTAACTGCAGCAATAATTTCTCACTTCACTGATCTAATCTGAAGCCATGAGCAGCTGCAATAGCTATGCCACGAAGGATCTTTCCCCTTTGACATATATTGCACAGGCTGTCCCTTGATTAGGTCACAAGTGTTTGAAGGCTGTAGATCTTTGCTTTCTTTTACGGAAATGCACCTCTTTTTAACAGTTTAATTGCTCAGGTTTGAATTTGAATGATCAGGTCTTGAAAGAAATGTACGTATGCATCTGATTACTTGTTTATGGGCTCAGGGAAGCTCTGCGATAACAAAAAAATCCCATGCTGATTCCTGAGCTGCTGGAGATCCTGTGCTCTAGGGTGTTGCCCTCCTCCTGCCGGATCCCACACTCCAGTCGGCTGTAAACTTTAACAGTCTTTTTTTAAGGAGAAGTGGTGTTGCTTACCGACATCCTGGAAACAAGCTGCGCATATGAAAATCACTGTTCTGTGGAAGTAACCCCTGGCAGTTCATTAGGCTGACTGGGGGGTGTTGCTAAGCAACTCGGGGTAACACGGGGGCTGTATGTATCCTTTGGTGGGTCCTGGTCCCTACACAGATTCCCAAAGCAGTAACATAAACGTGAGGAGAGACTGATCAAGGATGACCAAGAAGTTTAGCCCCTGCAAACTAACTTTTTTGTTAAGAGTTTTTCGAGAATGAAATTGGATTAGACCCAGCGATGACGTATCCTGTTTGATTTCTTTTCCCCTTGCGCTCTGACGAGCTTTGTGTTTAAGCAGGCTTTTGTTTCTGGCTGTGAGTTGCTTTAAAAAAAAAAATTGGGAGTGTGTCTCGGGGTGTCGAGGGTGATGTGCTTAGCTTGATTGGCTAGGTTTGGCTCGGTCTGCTTGCGAGTCCTTTGTTCTTCCCACCACCCTCAGGTCAGTTGTGCAACATGCCCTTATGGTTTAAGGAGGAAAAAAAAAAGGGGAAAAAAAAAAAGTGAAATGCTGAGTAATGCCAGAGTTTTCTCAAATGGCTGATGCAAACCTGGAGAATTTGCATCATCATTCAGCTGGAGTAACTTGGTATGACAACAGCTTAAATACAAGTCCACACGGAAGCTGAGCTGGTTTCCAATGATAGGGCAGTACCAGCTCGCAGTGTGAAAGCGCAGGTACTCCTGAGCCAGGCTCAGATCGCAGGAAGGGCTCACATACTCTTTAGGAGCTTGTTACCTGTGTGTAGGAGCAGCTGGAAAGATAAGAGAGGAGAGAGGAAGAGACAGAGTAGTTGGCTGCACAGAAAGGGGGGAAAAAAAAAAAAAAAGCCTTGAGTTCCTGCTGAAAACTTTTCTGCCTGTGCTTGCCGTCAGTGTGCTGGTGGCACTGTAGCATGCCTAGGAAAGCTGCTGTGCCCACGGTCTCTAATGGAAGCTACTTACAGGGGCAAGCTAATGGCAGGTTGTCCTCTCTGGACAGTGGACAGCCAGCCCTGGAGGGAAAAGTTGTGCTGAAGAAGAAAGTGACGCTTTTGAGGGGGATATCCATCATAATTGGCACTATCATTGGAGCTGGCATCTTCATCTCTCCCAAAGGCATCCTGAAGAACACAGGCAGCGTGGGCATGTCCTTGACTGTCTGGACAGCATGCGGTATCCTTTCACTTTTTGGTAAGTCCCTGAAAAGTTTCTAATTGGTCCGGAGGGGCGGCCGGTGGATTATCATGATTATTTGTCTGATTTCACTATTGGATAGCAAGCCACAGAGCAGAACTTGAGGGCCAATGGAGCTACAGGAGGTTTGTGCTGCGGAATGGGTTTTGTGAAGGGTGCAAAGATCTGCAACCCCTGCCCACCTCACCCCTAGTACCTGGCTGGTGAAAGTTGGAAGTAAATTATTGTTTCTTTTGGGTCTCTAAAGGAACAGGAAAAGCAAATGTCCATTTTATTCCCTAGAATGTGCTGTATGTATAATATTTTTGTCCTGTCCTACTTGTAAGAGGTAGTTTACGATTTGCTTGTAAGGCCCCTGACATCTGGAGATACAGGTCATGTGGCTTGAACACCACTGAAATGTTTAGACAGGTCGACTTAGTTCCCTAGAGGCTAGAGCAAGGTCTGAGAGGAATAATTCCCAGCTGTATTGACATGAAAGGGAGCAAAACAATAACACTAACAACCCCTCTCCCCACTGTTTTACTTCATTCCTCCCTCACGATGTTGCTTTCAACGATTGGGCTACCAAAAACAGTGTGATGGAAGTGAATTTGTCATGGGAGTTTTATTGCTGGCCTGCTTATTGTGAGAGTTTTTACTAATTCTCTGTATTCTTGAAGAGTGTTAAATTCTGAAGAAGTCCAGTTTAGTTGTTCAGTACACAAAACCCCCATTCAGAGTGGAAAACCCCACCCTGGCCTCTGTGGAACAGACGGTTCATTGACCTATTTAATGAGTTAATCTCAAAGAAGCTGAAGAACTAACATGAATATTGGCTTTATTTAAAACAGAAATGACTTGTTTACTGACAGGAGGTAAAGAGGACAAATAAGGACTAACATGTGCCTGCTTAATAGGTGGAACAGGCAAATGCCACCTTGTGTAAGTTGGCTCTGAGTTTTAGGGAAACACAGGCAGTTTACAGGCTGAGCCCACCCAGGCCAAATAGACAGTCTGAGTGAGTTAGGAGCCATTTGGGTCAGATGTTAAACGTGTTGTTTTAATGTGCAGCATAATCTGTTGTACAAACATGGAAGTCCTGCCTGTAATCAAAATTCTCTTACCAAGAAAAACCTCAGAATCAATCTGAAACCTGTCAGAAGACCTTGGTCTTTTGATTTAGTCAACACAGAGTTTGCTTAAGCACTGCATTTTTGGCTGTAACTGTAGTAATAGTGATTTTCTGGCTGTGAAGTAAAGTCTGTGCAAAAAAAAAAAAAAAAAATAAAGAAGAAGAAAAGAAAATCTCTTTTATCAGACAGAATTTGTAGCTCATTTTCCAGACCTCTAGATATGAAGAACTGTAATTTGGTCCAACAAAAGATACTTTCTCCTTCTCTGTGTGGATCTGTTACAACTGGGTTTTTTGCTGTCTTTTTCTTTTTGTTTTCTCCATGATTGTTTTTAATTCCTGCATGACTGAATTATAGTTAAATCACACATTAAGGTCACTTAAGGTCTTGCTGAGGCTGTGTGTGTAACAGGTATTGAAAAAATTAAATTTCATTCATGAACTTCCGCAGAGGAGGGTGGCAAAAGAAAACCCAGCAATAGCTTTTTTCAATGTGGTTGTAGGGATTCCTTTAAGTACACTTTCAGGTAAACTGGAGAATAGATAAAAGCTGCCATGTTTTTGCATAGCCCCAAACAAAGCAAATGAACTGGGATGGAATTTGTCACAATGTGGTTCAGCTTTATTGGGCTTGTACACGTGATGTGGCTTTGACAACTCTAGTTTGTATCTAAAAGTGTTGTGGCATAAAAGCATGCAAGGAACAGAGCTGAAATGAGTTTGTATATGTTGCTGAGCTTAACTCTATGTTGTGCAGTGCTTACAAACCTTATCTACTGTTTTCATCTGGCTTCTCAGACTCTTCTAAAAGGGCTACCTGTGTTTGTCACCTGTGGTATTGATGCATCCCACCCATGGAGCTGAGAATCCCCTGGCTTGGTGACTGCATGGTGTGTCCTGAGCTTTCACTGCATTTGGAGCACACAAAAACACTCCACCAGTGTTGAAAAGCCAGGGCTAAGCCATCTCCTGAATTTTGTATATAATATATAAGGAGTGCTCTTGAGGAAAATTCTTAATTTGCAGTTCCTGCTTCCGACTTTTTGCCAGTTGGTTGCTTTTGCCCATGGCTGAGGAGAGGTAATAAAGTCCTTCAGGATTTTCTTCAGAGGTTGAGTCAGGCATCTCTAAGACTGAAAGGAGCTGAGCAGACTTTGACAACAAGCAAATGTGTCAGAAAACTTTCACTTAGTGGTGCAGTTTGACTGTCTGGGAAGTAGGGTAGCTGGTGTGACACCCTGCTTTGTTGTCCCTCTTCACAAGATGAAGATGAGTAACAACACTCGTTGATAGTAAACAGCTTGTCCAGTGGCTTTACAAATAAATGTAACTGTATATATGTACAGTTTAGTTAACTGCATGTCTAGCTGAATGAATTAAAACTTACAAAATTGATTGGAAAAAAAAATATATATAAAAAGTAGGTACGATACCACGGCAGCTCTGTTGTTTAGCCTATAAATGTTTTGAAAGGTATTTCTGGATGCCTCCCGTGATACCGCAGTTTAATTCTCACAGGTGCCCTCTGCTATGCTGAACTAGGAACATGCATTAAGAAATCTGGTGGTCACTACACCTATATCCTGGAGGCCTTTGGTCCATTACCTGCTTTTGTGAGAGTCTGGGTTGAACTACTCATTATTCGGTAAGTGTAATGTGAGTTTTTTTGTTTCTCTTCTGATGGCAATATGCTTTTCAGTCATAAAGAAAAATGTCCAATATAAGACGGGCAAAACAAATAAAATATATCTTGATCAATTAACTGTGTTCTTTTGGTATCCATTTAGCATCTTTTACAGTTCTTTACTGTATCCATTAATGCCACTAATAATACCCATGCCTACATATAGTATAGTGGAAGAGGGAAGTCACCTTTACATTTTCTCAGTCTTAGCAGTAGCTTTTAGAGCAGTTGCTGTTTTCTGTGGATAGAGGAATAACTCCTGCTGAAGCTATTGCCCAGGAGTGTTCAGAGTTAGGAGCACCATGCGTGCTTTATATGTAAGCCTGGGTCCCCATTTTTTGCTTTTGTGGGGTGTTAGAGAACTTAACTCTTACTATGAAAAGCACTAGCTGACCAAATAAAGCAACATTAAGTCTTCACATATCTAAAATGGCCAAAGTACTGTTTTGGTGTGTAAGCCTTTGATATGCAGCCCTTGACATTGTATAAATGAACTACAACAGAAAGATGCCAGATCATATCAAATAAACTTCCATAGTGCAAATGGATCTTTATATCAAACTCACATGTGGCCCTTTGAATTTTTCCTTTTATTTTTACAGTATTGCTGAGGTTGGAGACCTTGATACATGTAGAACAGAGCAACTCACTTATGCATAATGACTTTGGGAATGCTCCATCCCCACCTCAGGCTGGTTAGCACTCCTTTCCCCTCTCTTCCGCAATCAGCAGATTAGTCATGAAAGCACAAGCCTCATTTCAGATCACAACTATGTTTACATAACATTGACAAGTTCTAACATAGACTATTGAGTTTAAAAGTGCTGACAGTGCTGAGTCATTATGAATACATAAATCCTTATGTTGTTTCCGGAGGAAATAATTTTGTATGTCAGATGGTCCCTCACATCCTCCCCACCCACACATAACCTTTGAATTAACTGCGTAATTTCCATCAAACGTGATGAAAGGGCAGATGTCTCAACTGTATTAACTTTTTGCCAAAAATGAAAATCAGGCAGAGGAATGAGACCTATGTTTTCACAGTGCAGTGAACAGCTATACTATTTCATGTCACAGAATCAACAAAAGAGAGCAGTGTTACAAATATCCCTCTTAACCTGCACCTTGTTAAGCAGAGGGACCTTATTAACCTAGGCAGAAATACCCACAAGAAACTAGGCTTCATAAATTCCTCTCCTCACAAAATAATTATTTTTTTACATATGACAGTGTCCCAGGAATGTCATGAAAATGCTCTTAGTCATCGTGATCTGCCCCACACCCAGAAAATAATCATCTTGCATGGGAACGAACATCAGTGGACTCTTTAATCACCTGGAGAGGCAGCAAGGTGTACATGTTATAACTTGTGATGATCAGAGCAGCGCTGCTGAACCTCTGTGTAGAGTTTTATATCTGACTCCTGCATCAGGAAACTAATTGGCTGCTGCTATCAAAGAAATTGAGACCAAATATGTGTCTGTGTTTGTTTTCGGCAGATGAAGTTGCACAGACACTTCTCAGCTAAGCTGTTTTTCCCTCTGAAGGATTGCAGGATTATCACACTCACAGGCTGGTGGAGCAGTTGCAACCAAAATAAACACTTCCTACATGTATCTCTGCAGACACTACTTTGCAGAGTAGTGAAACTCTGCCTGTATGCTGATTAAACTGTACCAGCATCACCTACTGTTTAGTTATGCCTTGCACTGCGCTGCTCCTCATCCAGTGCAAGTGGGAACTTTTTTCTCCCGAAAAGTCAGGTTGGGAGTATTTTATAAATATACATACCTTTAAAAAAACCCCAAACAACTAATTTTCAAACAAGAGAAGACTGTGTGACTGCACTATCTGTAGTCTGTGGTGGTTATTAAATGCAGGCTGGGTGGAAGTGCGCTGCCAGGTGCCTGACTCACCTGTGGTATAGGTTGGGGCGCTGACCTGCTCCTCACCTGATGGCTTTTTGTGTCCTTCACCCTTAGTGAAAGCTGCTCATGTGCTTTCCATCTGCTCCTGAACACAGAGCTGTTGAGGGCTGCCAGCCTGCCTGTAGGATTGTAGTCAGAAGGAAAAGCACAGAATCATTGAAGTTGAAAAAGACCTCTAAGATCATTGAGTCCAACCATTAACTCAGCACCACTGAATCCACCCTAGGCTGTGTCCCTAAACACCCCATCTGCACAAGTTTTGAACACTGCTCCGTTCTTTGAACTTCCACATCCACTGATTGACTGCACTGCCAGAAACATCTCCTCCCAGACATGAGAATGCCAGAGACAGAGCTATTTATTAGAGCTGTAATTTAGGAGCTATGATTTTAGAAACAGAGTGGTGCAGATAGCAGTGACTGCTTCTTTAAAAAGGCTTTTCTTTAAAGTGGGAGGGGGAAATCCAAGTTCTGGGAAAAGAAGCTGAGACTGAGGAAAAAAGTCTGCGACATCTCCAAAGATCTGATCTTTCATCGCATCTAGGGCACTTCAAGCTACTTTTGGCAGGCTGCAGTATTTAAAAACTGGAAGCCTGGTGATTTTCTTATGTGAGTTAGAAATATTGCACTGAGGTAAAGTCTGTAAATGTCTGTAAAAATCCAGGCAAAATTTGCAAAGCCATTTGCTGGCCAGTGAGAGGAACATCCTTGTGCATGGGAGATGCACGTGCAGCAGCCCTTGCTTGTCCGTGCAGAGACTTTCTGAGAAAGATACTTCCGCCCTTTGCTGCTCTGCAGCTTGGTCCAGCACTGTGTGTGACTTCTGGGTTGAGTCATAACACGAAGAAAGTGGGTTTTGTTTCCAGGGTGAAATTCCCTTGTGGAAAATTCCTTTGTTGTTCAATGGAGAATAACAACTTCTCTGCAGAATTTTTACCCTCCTCCATAGCATTTTTATCAAAGTTCTGTGAAGTGAGGTTTTATTTTATTAAATGCTGTATATCTTTTCACAAGAAATTTGCATGGACTCTGGTTTAACTCAGAAATCCTTTGAGACAGAATCATATACCCTATTGTCCTTACAGTCTGTGAGGTGTGTGATAAAGCACAGATACCACTAGCTGTCCTAAGAAGGGTGAAAGTGTCCTCCCAAATGGAACGTGAATAGATCACTGGAAATATAATATGGAGACCGTGTCTGATTCAAGGCTAATTTGCTATTAATGTGTGTCAGTGCTAAGGCTTCTGGCAAACAATTAGCTTGTCTCAAAGAGAAAGGCTGTATGAATATTATGAGCATTTTGAATTTGTAAATGCAACAACTGTTTGCCTTTCTTCACATTTCTTGATTTTATGGTAAGTGCTTTCTGTGCTCTATGGGTTTTTGCTCTCACTTGCAGTGCTAGGAAGTTGTTAGTCAATAAAAGGAACAAATTCTGTTTGCATTTTAGGAAATCCAATTTTAATTAATTGTTTTGCATTTTCTCAGAATTTAATAACAGACTTGGGTAGGTTTTTGGTACTTATTTCAGTAAACCAGAATTCTTGGCTTGATTGAAACTAATTTCCCTGTGTCTCTGAGGGGTGAGATATACTTGGCCACTAAAATTCAAACTGACTTTTATTCAGGGTTTTGCCCATGTAAGTCAATTCTGGCTATGTTCACTTCATGCGAGTGAATGAAGATTTCTATTGATACTTTTGCTTTCTGATTATGGCTGCTTTGCAACGTGGATGTAAGGAGTGGTAAAAGTTGTTGCTGTCAAGATCAGAACCACTGGGCAATGCTGCATCCAGAAACCATGTCAGCATAGTTACCAACAGGCTTACGTGATAGTGAAGTTACAGCATGATCCCACATAACATCAATGTACTATTGCGGATTAATTTTGTGACTTTGTTGTTTTTACTCTAGCCCTGCTGCCACAGCAGTGATATCGTTGGCATTTGGACGTTACATTTTGGAACCTTTCTTTATGCAGTGTGAAATCCCAGAACTTGCGATTAAACTTATTACAGCTGTTGGCATCAGTAAGTATCAAAATTTTAGGTTTCAGGAAAGGGTAAAGATTACAGAAATTAAAAAAAAAAAAAAAAAGACTAATCACTCGCTGAACAGGTAGTTGTTTGATGTGAATCACTAATGACTGGGCATCCAATGCCAAGGGCATCCACATGACATTTTGCCTGGGTAGGTGTGTTTGTGAACAAACGCATTAGTAGGAAGAACAGCAGACTTTATTAATGGCAGGGAAGATCTATTGCCAAGGTTGATTCTGTTGCCACTGGAATTAATGGCTGAAGTCTCATTACTTTTGTGGAAGCAATTTCAGTCCCTAAAAGATGGTGAGCTGGTGCCAGAGATATGGAAGAATGATTACCTGCGTTTAAGTGCTTTGCTGTACCTCTGTTTTAGGAGGAAATTGAGTGCCAAGTATGATGCCATGAAGAAATGTAGTTCTCTTGAGTGCAGACAGGCGACATGAGATCATCTTCCCTAGTCCCACTCTTTCTGCCATGGCACTAATCCTTGTTGAGGCACCTGTGATTCAGGAGGCAGCAACCCAGCTGTGGGAACAGAACATACAGCTTGGAGCAGGGTTGTTACCAGCAAGTTGTCCTGCTCTTGCTAATTTTGCAGTTAGTGTAAAAGGGACCTACTTAGGTGACAGAAAGCTAATATTTGCAGTGCGAAGAGGGAGGCTACCCTGAGTGCAAGAACTTTACAGTGTACCTGGGATGGTGTGGAGGGGGCATGAAATGGGAAGGCGCAAAGGGTGAATGGGAATGGGACTCTGGAGCCTGCACCTGTAGCTTTAGAGGCTTGTTTCCAGTTCTGCCTGGTCACTGGTGAGGATGCTTCTTGTGGGCACATATTGGCATTCAGCTGTGCTGGGAGGGGAGTGCAGAGTAGACCTGAGTAATTAGTAACAGATTGTTCCTTTCAATTTGCTCAGTGCACATAACAGAAACAAAAGGACTGGAAAAAAGAATTAAGACATGCAAAATGATCAAAGGCCCACAGGAGACCCTTTCAGTTTTGCACAATAATAGGTTCAGATGACTTTTTCTTTCTTTGGGGTAAGGAGTTCAATTGACATTGAAATTTCCAGTCTCCAGGTTACTGTGGCTTTTTGTAGGAGCTCTCTTGATAAGTTTTCCCTTCTGCTGGGAGTATTAAAAAATCAGTATGTGACTGCATTTCTTTCTAGCTTAATTATGCACAAACTATAGGTTTCATAGGAATAATTGAATTAAGGTCTTGAATTTTGAGGTCACTGACTTTTGGAGCTACATCTGTCTAAAACATTTCAGTGCAAGATAAAGGTGAAACAGATGTTCAGTAATAGTCAAGGTCAATGAGACAGAAGGAATGTTAAGTGAGGACTCCATCAAAGCATTTTGTTAAGTGCGTGTGATTCAAGCACAATAGGTGAACAGTTTGAAATATGTTTTTATTGCTTTGAATTTAAGTGAAAATCTGTGTGATAAGCCAGGACTTGACAAAATAATTAAACAAAAAAGTAGCACTGCAGGGGAGGTGGAGTTAGGCTGAAATAATTACAGCCTAAAGGGAGAGAGGGGGTCATAGCAGACTACTCCTGTACAGAGTAGGTCTGTACAGTACAGGTAAGTTGAGCTGGCACTTTACTGAAAGAAGGGATTCTTGTAGAAAGCTTGTAATGGTGAGTGGGACAAAGCTAAGGAAAACGGTGACATGATAGACTGAGGTTTTATCTTTGTCCTTTGCAGTATTCTCTACAGTGGAGTTTCATTTGCAGTAGTTTTAGAACTTCTGCTACGCTTAATCTCAGTGTCTGACTGCTATCCTTGTATGGTAAGAATCAGCTGTTGTGGTAATTGTTATGAATGTTTGGTATTGTGCATGTAGGCAGAGTGATAGGTAAGATTAAGGTGGTGAGCTGAATAGACACTTTGGAGCCCTGAAGATCTCATAATCCAATTTAATGGTGCCAAAAGTAGTGTTTGCTTCCACTGCAAATTTTAAGTTAATCAGAAAGTGAAATGACATGCCTTTTGTACTCTTATCCGTGCCTGGTCCCTCCTCTCTCCTTGTCTGATGAGCAGTCCTTGTGTATCTGTCTTTATTGTATGGGGAAAAGGCAGTGGGAAGCACCATTAAATTCTGTCCTTGGGTGAGACTTTGTTCTAATGTTTTAGTTTGTCATTTCTCATTATACTGGAAAGGGCATGGAGAGATTTTGAAAAATCTTGAGGTGATCCCCTGATCCCAAACACAATCAGTGCTATCTAAACAATTTCTTACAGCTATTTGTATAAACTGGTCTTAAAATCTGCAGTGTGGGAGTTTTTAAAGGCTCACATATTATTGCAGCCCAGTTTTTTCTATTTTATCACAAGACAGCTTTTCTCTTTCCTTCTCCCCCCCTCCACCTAAACCTCCTTTTATGCATCATAAGCCTATTATTAAAAGGTTGCCTGAGGTGGATGTGGCAGGATTGTGCTGGGGAGTGGCAAATACTATTGCTCCTCTACCAGCTGTGAAAAAGTATTTCTTGTAGTGGGGCTACAGCCCATTCTCCTCCCCACTATTCCCCCTCTGTGCCTCTCCAGTGAAAAAGGAATGGTGATGCAGGTAACATGTAGATCAGATGAGAGTTAAAATGGAACTACTGGAAATGATGACCTTTAAAAAATTCCTTATTCTTACTTTATTATTTATAGCAAAAAGCATATGCTGGGCACAGAACACCCCTGAAAACCATACCTGTTCAGAGCAATCTCGAACAATCTGTAGAGGCAAATTTTCTGTTCTACAGTATGCTGCTTTCATTTCTAGTTGTCATTATTACAATTTTTTAAAGTCACAGCTTTTTGGACCTCTAAAGCAAAACCTGCCTGTTCTTTTCAAACTTAGAAATCACTTAAATTCACTTCATGCTTCTTAAGCGAGTCTTCATGAGGAGGAAAACTTAGACAAATACTGGATATGCATATCACAGTCTGTCGGTCCGACAGAAACATTTTCTAAATTCAGTCAATTTTAACTGTACCTGAAAGAAGAGAAGACATCTCTAAGACTTTTATTACATCATGCATTTCATAGACTATCAGAGTCATAGAATGGTTTAGGTTGTAAGGGTCATTAAAGATCACCTTGTCACAGGCAGGGACACCTTCCACTGGACCGGATTGTGCAAAAAGCATCCAACCTGACCTTGAACACTTTCAGAGACAGGATATCTAATTACTACAATTTTTATGAAAATAAATGACCAGAGAAGCTGGATGTGCCCCAGCACAGGGAAGGACAACTGAAGAAAATGCAAACAGGAGACCAGCCCTTCTAACTGCCCAGTTTTGCTCAAGTAGGACAAAACAGCCCCAGGACACAAAGCAAAAGGGATGTTGTCCACCTTTGTTCTGATGCTGTCCTAAAAAGATAGTCTTTTTCGGAGAAAGAGTTTAAAATTAATTTTTCTCTTTCAGTGAAAACTGGTAGACTTCTACATATTTATTGTTTCTTCCAATGAAGAAACATCCTATCACCGTGCCTATCATTACAAAGCATTGTGGCAGTGCAAAAATGCCCTGTATTCATATGTTGCTTTATTTGTATCTTTGAATTCTTTTCTTAATGCTAAACTTAAATATAATGATAGCAGGAAGGGACAATTGTACTGTGAAAGGTATTAAACTCTTCTGTTGATATGTAACTTGACTAGAAACACAATGTTAACTGAGCCTGTTCCAGTCTTTCCACTCCTCTGTATCAGAAAGTAGATAAAGAGGTTTCAGCTATTAAAATGAAATGAGAATGAAAGCTGGTTGCCAACTCACACATGTTTTTACACTCATTTATGTGTATTTTAGGCATTTTCTGTAGCAATAATGTGTAATTTCCCACTTTTTAATTTTTTTTTGGGGGGTCTGCCAAGGAACTCAAATATCCCTATCTTTGGCTGTTGGTGGTAAAGTTATGCTTGAAAACTGAGGCCACCTATACAGATCTTTCAGCACTTACTGGCAAATGGTCCAGCCCCCAAACTTTATAGGCAAGTATGTGAGTCTATAGTTAGTTGCCTTTTTTTTTACCCCATCATGGCAGATGTTACAGATGCCACTCTCTACTGCTGAAAATTTTCAGACAAGCAGTTTAAGTTAAAACATCTCTTGGCTTGCAGAGATAGCAAAAGCTGCTCTGATAGGTGCTTTTGTGCCTCCTGTGACCTTTAATTGCTGCATTAGGATCTGCAAATTGAAGGTATTATTTGCGTTTTAAAAATGCCTTGACCCTCAAAGTCTGACAAGTTAAGGCAGGGCAGTTTTCTTGGTCTCCTGCTGAGGTAATGGTTCATATATTCTTGAAAAGTAGGCCAGGATGTAATGCTTACTGCTGCTTCTCCCATCAGATTTTATCTGTCTACCGCTGTGGCTGTGGGAGGGAAAGAGATTGTGAAAAGCAACATGATTGGTGTTACCATTTTGTTTGATTGTTCATGAACCCCATTTTGTTCTCTTTCCATACTCCCCTTGGTTTTCATCCATCTGGTTTTTAGCTAGTTGCTTATTTTAAGGTAATTTTTTATGCTCCTCATACAGTTGGTGGAGAAAGAGGGAAAGAGACATTTCCTGAAGGCATCTCATCTTATCTGGGATAGGCATCTCAAAGAGGTATTGATATTCATCCTCTGGAGCTAACTCTTTCTTCACTGAGGGTGCAGCCACACTAGATGCCTGACTTCTAGTTAGCAAAGTTAGACCTGAGTCCTCCTTTCACTGCCCTTTTCCTGGGAAACTGCTTCTTCCTTCTGATCTTTGCTGTGATCCTGTATCAAAGCGTCTACAACCAGTTTCTTTAAATATCTCCATCAGGCTTTGTTCATAGATGAGAGATGTTGAATGATGGTCATAGTCCCAAGATATAATGGGACTATATATGAGTCCTAGCACAGTTGTCATATTCTTTTCCTGCTTTAGCTGCTTTCTTCGTGACTCTGTTTCCCTGTTGCCTTTCACTACTCAGTTGCTAACACAGCTAGTCTGGTGTTGGTATATGATAGCAGTGTAAGCCCCACATTTCTAGACAGCTGTTATGCAGATAGAACCTTAAGACTAAATATTATATTATAGAATACTAAAATTATTATTAATAGTATACAATGAAATTGTGTCTATATACTATATTTTTATAGAAGACTGTAAATTCTTATACCATAATAGGTACAATAAGATGAAATTCCAAAAAAATATAAAACTGATCTCAGATATTCTACTCACTTAAGTCTCAGCCCTGCAACCTGGAGTAATACTGGTGCAGTCCTCCAACTCTGCAAGGGACTTACTCCTGTGGAGGACCATCAAAGGACATTTGCATCAAGGGACTTTTAGTGATAGGACAAAGGGAAATGGTTTTCAGACTGAAAAGGGGCAGGTTTAGGTTAGATATTAGGAAGAAATTTTTATGATGAGAGTAGTAATATACTGGCACAGGTTGCCCAGAGAAGTTGTGGCTGACTCATCCATGGAAGTGTTCAGGGCCAGGTTGGATGGAGCTCTGAGCAGCCCGGTCTAGTGAAAGGTGCCCTTGCCCATGGCACAAGGCTTGGAACTATGTGATCTTTAAGGTCCCTTCCAAACCAAACCATTCTATGTTTCTGTGCAAACTAACAGCACGTGCACAGGACTGACTGCAGATGTAGCATCTCTTCAGTTTCCCAGTTAATGAAGGTCCTTGCAGTGTCCCTTTTGCTTGCACTATCTTATTAGAAAGCCTCAGATGAAATGTTTGACTGACTTGAACATGTGGTTGGGGATGGAAGAGGTTTTAACACAGACTGCTCACAAGGTTCTTTTTCTTTCAAGCCTGTGTAGCTCTTACACAGATTTGGTGTTTGTGATCTGTGCATGGCTGGCCATCAAGGAAGGTTATCAGTTTCCCTGTGAGTTGACATTACTGTTCCTGCTGGTTCACCATCCAGTGACGTTTTCATGTGTTTCAGGAAGGTGAAACCAATGCATTAGAAAGCCTGGAGGAGGTCTCTCTGAGGGCTGGATGCTCATGTTACCTACTCTGACCTGTGTAAGGTAACAGACTGATTGCTGCAGTCAGCTTGAACTCCGAGTAAGCTGGATATCAAATTGCAGATACTCTTACACAATAAACTCCTCCTTGACATTTTTTTGTGTCTGGTCCATGCCTGGACTTCTCCTTCTGGGCAAGAAGAATATAATATCCTGAGTCTTCTAGGAAAATTAAAATTAGCCAGTACTTGACTATTGATCAAATGAATATTTTAAATATATTTTGCTTGAATTACAGTTGTTAGTCTTGCTGGTAGTCAAGCCCCAGGAAAAGAGGAGGAACCTCAAAGAACACTACTATTCAGCAGCAATCTAAAGGGATCTTTCAGCATTTAAATTAGTCAGGATATGTTAGTGTACTATTAGAACAATAGAGTAATGAATCAGGCCCCTCAGATCTTCTGTTGCCTGCCAGGTGTAGGTATACACGGAAGAAAAAAGAAAAAAAAAAAGTATTGGGATCTCTAGTGATAATTTGCAGAAATTTGAGTGATTTCTCTGTGACTTAGGAAACAACACCTCAGCTCTGAAATATGGTGAGATACAGAACTGATTAAAGGTTTTGATCTTTAAGATCTTTGTTTTGTGGAAAATATCATGCTAAATGATGTTGTGAGTTCATGTTGGGTTGTAAATTCTTTGTTTGAGAGTGGGACTCTCTCTTTCCCAAATATAATTCCAGAAAAATATTTTTTTCCTTTCCTGGAAGTTTTATTTTATTAAAAATGTCAAAAAACCCACACTGGTATCTAGATTACTTGGAATTTTCTCCCTTTCCCATTGAACCAAAACTACTTTAAACTGAGAAGATTTTTTTTTATTCTATATTTTTAGCTTTGCCAGTGAACAGAAACTGTATAAAATACTTGGGATAAATCAGTGGGGTTTGCTTCCAGAAAGCCTGTACTGTGCCAGGTCTACAATGCTAGCTAGTACAAAGTAGCAGCTTGTGCTTTTATGCATCCTGAGATGTGTGATATGGCTGATGACAAACTTGTGCTCTTGAGAGAGCTTGAAGTGGGGGAGGATTGAGATGAGGAGCTACTTCATTAGCTCCATATGATGGCAAGAAAGAGAAGATGAGTGAACAGGCTTGACTACATTTCCCTTTCCCTGAAGCAGAAGGAGAAGGGGGCTTTTTATCTAGTGAAATGGCTCACATTTTACATTCTTTAGGGAAACTTTGTTGATTCTGTTTTGTCAGGGTAACTGTTTAAATAAACTAGAATAATTGGCCCTCAAATGATAAGACCTACTACCTTTCTCATTTCTTCATCAATTCCCGACAATTATGGGTACATCTTCTGCACTCTGGCCCTCCTGCATCTCTGGTGGTACAGCAAAAAAGGGAGGAGAAAGTGTGGAAAAGAAGAGCAGGAGTAAATAAGGTAGCAAGTAACAAATTTATGCAGGGTCTAAAAAAGGCTGATAAAATTTAATATGGTTATTAATTACTACCATTTTGTGAAAAATGCAAATGTCTACTCAAACCAGCACAGACAAAGAAATCTGGAGTGACAAGGGTTGGGCAATTAATTTCTTTCATCCAAGGCAGGGTCCTGCCAGCCCATTGTCTACCAGAAGTTGACAGTTCTGAGTCAATGAAGCTGTAATTTGGTGTGGAGGGAGCCAGGCAGAGAAGGGACAAAGGGATGGGCCACGCAGTGGGTCAGGCAGAGGGGCTCAGCTCAGGCCTTTCGTGTGGCACCGTGAAGCGGAATGGGAGAAGTAGGAGGATGACAGCTGGAGAAGGTTATTGGGGTGTATTTCCTTTAATGCATTAGGATCTACTGGGTGTGTGACCTCTCTGCTGGCAAAGAGTTTTGTGACAATTATTTCTTTCTGACTTTTCTTTTTCCCCTCACAGCGCTGGTGATGGTCCTGAATAGCACAAGTGTCAGCTGGAGTGCCCGCATTCAGATGTTCCTTACCTTTTGCAAGCTTGTAGCAATTCTGATAATTATAGTCCCTGGAGTTATCCAGCTAATTAAAGGTATGAAATGAAAAGTAAATGCTTTTAAAGAGCTTTTATCTTTACCCTCCCCAGTCTTTCCCCACCTGCCTTTGCCAAATAATGCTTGTAGCAGCAAAGTCTCTTAATTAGTCTGTGCTTGCTTAACTGAGGCTCTGTCATGTAATTGATTAGAAGTGGAACTACACTGGGATGAACTGGTGCTTCCTTCAGCATGCCAATGAGTCTGTTTCAATCAGATTCACTCTCAAATGAGCAAGTGGACTGTGCTTCTCTGTAATTTGCCTTTGGCATGAACTTTGTGAAAGGAGCAGGATGGGTTTTAATGACAGATGGACATACATGCCTAGTCCAAGCAGAATGTCTCCTTTAACTGTGCTAGTCCCTAGTCATGGTACAGGGTATGTGGTGGGAGAAGGGCTCTGATTTCACAGAATCACACAGTCATAGCCACACCTTCCATTTGGGTTGGAAGGGACATTAGAGACCATCTAGTTTTATCTCCTCCTTCCATGGGCAGAGATACCTTCTGCTACACCAGGTTTCTTAAAGCCCCATCCAGCCTCGCCTTGAACACTTCCAGGACACCCACTGCTTCTCTGGACAAGCTGTTCCAGTGCCTCATGACCCTCACAGAGAAGAATTTCTTCCTAATATCTAACTTAAACCTGCCCTTTTACAGTTTAAAGCCATTCCCCCTTTTCCCGTCACTACATGCCCTAATAAAGGCACTCTTTTCACTGACAGATGCTCAGCTACCTGCAGAGACTTTTCCATTACAGCCCTCTCAGCAGTTGGTGAGAGATGGTGACAAACCCCAGCTCACTCTCCTTACAAGTACACAGCACAAGCAGCCATTCAGTGCAGAGGGGCAGAATAGGGAGCACTCTTTAATGAACTGGTGGCAGATTTTATCTAACAAAAACTATCACAGTTGTTGGCTCTGTCCCTGGGGATGCTCTTCTCTGATGACTCACAAACCCTCCCATCCTAGTGAACAGCACAGCGTTGGTCTGTGCAGTGAGCTCGAATTCTCAGGGACAGGCAGCTGTGGTTAATAAAGACTCTGAAATAAAGGTTTTCCTGTGTGGCATTCTGCTGGTTCACTGTTTTTGTTTTCTTGTTTTCCACTTTCTCTCTGGCAGTTGCAACACCATTTCCCACTGCACATTACACATGAAATGGGCAAAATTTCTTTCCATTCCCATCCACACCAGTTTTCCTTTGGAGCAGGTCAGGCCCAGGTTTGTTTGGGGTTACTGCCCTGAAGTAGCACAGATAGGGTCCCTTATTCCCCAGTGGGACCCTTCTGTGGTCACAGCTTTTCCCTTAACCAAAAAGCCTCTGTTTCAATGGGAAATTTTGACTGGGAGCTCAGTAAAAACAGAGGAAAAGGGTAGAGAATTTGACCCACTGCTGGTCTGAATGAATTCTGCTCCATATCTGTGGAGAGTCACTGCTACAGAGGAAATTTGAGATATTGTTGGGATGTCTTACAAACCATAGAACAACTTACAAATGAATAAGAGCATAGCAGTAGTCTTACATATTTGCATTTTATATATATATATAGGTAATTCTTATGTGGTGAAATATTAGTACAATATTAATTATTGTGATAGAGAGTAACTAACTTCATTTTTCAGTGGTAGAAATGTTTAATATTTTGGGTTAATTTATCTTATAAATGTTGCTTCTGAATGAAATGCCAGTAAAGTTACTTCTGATTAAAATGCTGAACGAGTGAAATTTTCCACATCAAAAACTACAGAGCTTGTTTTGCTCTCTCATGTTGATGTAAGTCGTTGCTGGAAATGACAGAGTAGTGAATGTCATCAAACTCAGAATGCTTTGAAACAAAACTAATAGGTCAAATTCTGCTATTACATGGCTATGGACAGCACAAAGCCTTCTACAATTGCTGTCAGATTATGACTTCAAGGGTTGGGTCAGAAATTAAGGTCAAGGGCAGAACTTGAAGTCAGTGAACTGTAGGGCAATTAAATGTTCCATGGTGTGATATATTTATTTGTTTGAATGTAGTAGGTGACCAAAGAGCTTATTTTTCAATATTCTTTTTGTTGATGTTGCAGGAGAAACACAGCACTTTAAAAATGCCTTTGCGGGGAACGATGCCAGTGTTTTGGGACTACCACTTGCTTTTTATTCAGGAATGTATGCCTATTCAGGCTGGTAAGTGGATGAAACTTATAAGTATTTGTCCTGAAAACAAATACTAATGTGGTCTAAGAAAAAAATTTATTTATATGAAGTGAGTAGCACATTCTACGTATTTGTAAGTGTAATTCTCACCACTGTTATATGTGCTCAGTGATTATTGTGCAAGCAGCTCTACAAAGGAAAGATTTTTCTTCTCCTTTGGATAAAAATGCACTGAACACTAGAAAAATGAGACCACGAAATTAAATTTTCATTAAGTATTTTGATAGAAGGATAAAAGAAATAACAAAGCTGTAATTTTTGTTGAACAAGTCAGTAATTACATGAAAACCAAATCTATGATTCTATTAGTTGTGTGGCCCTTAGCTTTGCTAGGTAAAAGCAGTATTTGAAGAATAAGAAGCAAACTATGATAAGATCAGTGTGGACCAAAAAACAGGGTAAAAAACTAGATTCTTATGCTTCTTGCTCTGAGAGAATTGGACCTCACTTGACAAGAAGCGCAACTGGCTTCCACAGAAGTCAAGTGAGATTGACTGTGAACAAAGGCATGAGAATCTGCCTTCAGGTATCCTGTTCAGAACTTTCAAGTTATTTCTCTCTTTCCCCAGCAAAGCACACAGCAGCTGGTTTGAAAGGTGCTGCTGCTCTTCGAATCTGCCTTTACCATTTATTCATGCTTGTGAGGGCTCCACATTGTGCAGTGCCAAAGGGCTTTTACAGCAGCAGTGTGGGGGGAAAAAGGAGACTACAATGCACAGAGTGGGCTTATGTTGAGATAGCTTTGTCTGCAGGCCTTCCCTTTGCTTTCCATAGCCTCACAGGCAGCCAAGTTCTTTACCTCACACAAAAGGAGAGGGCTGAGAGATAAGGGGTTTATTTATTTAATTCGGAGGGACAATGGGCCGAGAATTGAAGTTCTCTGCCCCTCTGTAACTCCCTGGTTCCAGGAGGATTATAAACATGCACACTGAAGTATGAACAGAACTTTTATATTAAATAGCAGGAGGGGAGGAAACCCAAGAGAGTCCAAAGCCTTTATCTCGGATAGATATGTAAGAAAAGAGCCTGTCATTTTGAAGCCTCAAAGAAAAGGAACTTATTATGTGGACAATCTCTACTTTCTTCCCTCTCTCCCCTATAACTGCCTATGTCCTCTCATATCTATACATGTGATGGTTTCTCACGTTTAAAATATTAACCTAACTACATGTTTTTGTATGAAAGCAACTTTAAAAGCTCTTTAATATTATTCAGAGTTCAATTGCTGTAAAATGTTGCAACATAATAATAGTATTTTTGATGTTTCTTTCCCATTTCTTTCCATTTTCCACATAATGTTCCAAACCCCTACAATAAAAATAATCTTTTTTTTTTTTTTTAGCTTTACACCTTCTGACTTTCATTTCAAGGTCCTTATTTGCCACTTCTAAAAGAAATTAGCAGGAAAAAGACCTAATTTGGCTAGTGGTTCTTCCCAACTGCCTATTTGTCTTTGTCACCAGCTCAAATTGATTGCCTTGGAGCACAGAGGAGCAGACCATTAAGTGGAGTGTCAATACCCTTGCACTATCAGTTTCATGGGGCTAAATCAATACAATAAGCTGAATGTGAAGGAGTGTTGCAAGTGTTGGTGGCGTGTCCCAGGATGCAGGCAGAATTTTATGCATAACCTACAAGACTGTTAACTTTTAATGATACAGCTTTGAAGAAGAAAACAAAGGCAGCATCTCTTCTATTTGTTGGTTCATCCTGCCAAGAGCAAGTGTAGACTGTTGGGTATATAAAATGCTGGGTGAAAAAGGACAAGTGAAAGTAAAGGGACTGGTGCTGGGCTGTCATAGAATCATAAAATCACAGAATGGTTTGGTTTGGAAGGGACCTTAAAGATCATCTAGTCTCACCCCTTTGCCATGGGCAGGGACCCTTTCCACTAGACCAGGCTGCTCAAAGCCCCATCCAATCTGGCCTTGAACATTGCCGAGGATGGGGCATCCACAACTTCTTTGGGCAACCTGTTCCAGTGCCTCACCACCTTCACTGTAAAGATGTTCTTCCATATTTCTATTCTAAATTTCCCTTCTTTCAGTTTGAACCCGTTTCTCCTTGTCCTTTCACTACAGTTGCTGATCAAAGTCACTTCTGTCTAGAAGCAGGACAAAGACCAGAAAGAAGCAGTTGAACATCTTACTTGTCAGAAGCCATCTCTCTTTTCAAGTATCCCAACCTCTTCTTTTGTGCTTTGTGCACTAGAAAGTTTAAAAACAAGTACTGAGGTTGTTGTATAAGATGGCAACTCTGGCTTTACAGAAGTTCATGTACAGTCACAAAATCAGCCAGCGCTCAGATCTGCTCCAAGACTTGTGATGGAGCAAAGCTTTCTGCCAGATCAGTTACCATTTGTTTATTCACTGTAGCACTGTTGGCTCAGATATCATTTGTCTTTCTGTACAAGAGCAGAAAGCCAGCATAAGCACTGTATTGACTGCCCTGTTTAATTAGCCAGGATCTGACTTGGTGCCTGTCTCCAAGCCAGGCACAACTGTGATCCAGCGATGCACGGACCTAGTGCTAATAAATGCAGAACAGAGGGTTCAGTGACCTTGAGGCTTATGTTTGCTGTGTATGCAGGGCTGTGCCCAGTGAGTAGTTCCTATGATTTTCCATACAGAGCTGTCATTTGAATGCTGAGGGAATACAGCTGGAGTGCAACCTGTGCTGGAGGTTGTGCAAGAGCATGAAGGGTTAGCAGCCTGGGTTTGTGATTCTATACAACAAACTAGTGTCAAAGTTCTTGTTTTAGAAGGGTGTCTTCCATGGTTTTGTTTATTTTTATTGTTAAGAAGTCCTTACTGAGTACTCTGATGAGACTTTTTTCCAATGTAACTTGAAATTGTAAAAGGCTACAACCACAAATGAAATATGAGGCTTCGGGGTGCATATGTGTGTATGTGTGTGTGTATGGAATTAGGGTAAACAATAATCTGTCTAATATGTCACGGGAAAGCAAATAATTTAGTTCCACACTGACTTTACATTGCTTTTGTCTTTTTTTTCTGCTTTGCTGTCTTTTCTGAAAATTCCCTTCCTGACTGTGGGGATGAAGGAAGGTTAAATCTCACATTCTCCTTAATCCAAACATGGCTCTGCACAGTCTGCTGTGATTAATAGCTGTGCTTAACTAAAAGCATCTTCTTGATTCTTTGTGAAAGAAATATAGAATAAAAATGTACCAAGTCCTTATAATATGTCTTATAATTCTTTTCTAGGTTTTACCTCAATTTTGTTACTGAAGAAGTGGAAAACCCTGAAAAGTATGTACCTAATGTTTTGCTTGACTTTTGAAAAACAGTCATAAAATTTAAAATGTTACAAAAGTAGTGATCTTCAGAAATTCTGCATGCTGGTCAAGCTGCTTGCTTTCCAGCAGATCTGGTATCTATTTGAATTGCAACTGCTTGAAGATTTAGTGATTTTGGTCTGTTGTGACCTCCTTATGTATTCTGCTTTCATGTGCGAAGAAAGCAGCAAACTAAGTAGATCTCCAGGGCTCCGGTTCTCCCCCTCAGGATACAACTAACTATCAGTGGCTTCTTTCAGTGGAAGTTACTGGTATCCTGTCACAGAAATCTTGCCCAAGAAACTTATCTGCTGCAGTATTTGTCAGTTTTGCTATGTTTAAATATTAATCAAATACTTAGTTGTACTTGTTTTAGATGTCTCAGAGATGCAGGATCTTGAATACACGTAGCACAGCATCCGATCCAATTAAATCGAACAGAGGATATGGGTTGGAGCCTGCATCAAACTAAAGATGAATAATCTCACAGCACCTGTCTGTAAAATGTTGAAAGAAAAGTTGTCCTGTTGGGTAGAATTTTGATTTATCCCAACTATTTTGGTAGATATGTTTTGGTACATGGGAACAGTAATAAAAAAAATCTATTAACCTTTTCTAAAAATTACAGAAAATATGCCTTGTCAAATAAATTTGTTTTCCTTAAGGAAATGAACAATTTACTTGATCAAAAATTAATGGCTAAATATAATTTTCTTAGGTTTTTAAAATAAGACAGCTGGCTGGGTACCAAATAACTTATTGTTTAGAAGCACCCCCAGTACTGTACACTCAGATAATATGAATCTGAGACATGTAGAGAAAGAAAACCCCAAACAGCCATTGACTGGGAGCATGCAGAAGGTTCTTTGTTTGTTTCTTCAAAGTCTGAACCAAACTTGGTGCTGTTTCATTACAAGGAAATTGATGACAAAACATGAGGATGGCAGAAAAACTGGCAGATTTCCATTGTTTCAGTGTCTTTGAGGTGTCTTAGGTGTTAGCAGGTTCTTTATTATGATCAGGATATGTAGACTGAGGACTGTATGTATGACTGGAAGCTGAAACCAGACAAATGCAGGTAGAAAATAGAGCATTAGTATTTATGACTAATCATTAGTACAGATAGCTACAGGTGCCAATGGGTTTTTCAGTGTTAGTCTTCAGTTCTGACAAAACATGTTTTTAGGAGTTGTGCTTTAGTGAAATGTGAGTCCACAACCCTGGATGTGTTTAAAAGATGTGTAGAGGTGGCACTTAGGGACGTGGTTGAACAGTGGACACAGACTCAGCAGTGCTGGGTTAATGGTTGAACTCTACTGTCTTAGAGATATTTTCAAACCTAAATGATTCTGTGATTCTAAGTCATTTGTCTCAGTGAGAGCAGCTGGCTAAATCTTTCCAGACCTGGTACGGACAGGAATGCAAGATGGATGACCAAGTAGCAAATCTGAGTTTAATAATCAAGGAGCTGTGTGCTTTATAAAATCAGGATAAGAAGACATTTAAGATTAAAAAAAACCAAACTTTTTTTTTTTAAAATTTTGAAAACTTGTTCTGTGGCAGACTGACTTGAAAAGTGAAACTAAACCAAGGAATGAAAGGATTCTGATGCAAGACATCTACTGCTTCAGGAAATTCTGGGGAGATAGGTTAGGAGCCAGAATCTTGGTGATGTGATCAAAAGCATTTGCTAGAAGCAACATAATTTGTAAATTATCATGTGGTTATCATCAATACCATGTGATGTTTCTAAGCACTCAGATGGCTACCGTCCTTCAGGACTTTTCATACACTTTTCGTACACTCTCTCTGTAGTTCTCTTAACTGAAACTACTGTTAATTTTCATTACAGCTATATTATTTATGTTGACTTTTTATTTTTCTTGTGGTTTGAGTCAGAGAAATGCCTGTTTTTGAACATTTTGCTCTCTGTTGCATGGGACAGAAAGGCATAGTTCCTCTTTTTTTTTTATAACTAAGCACCCTTTGAAGCATAATGTATCACAGCTAAGAAAAGTCATGTGGGTTCAATTTTAAGGTTTTTTTTTTTTTTTTTATTGCAACTGGAATGTGAGAGGTCTTTTCTGCCTCTCTTTCAGGAGAGCTTTCAGGTTACTCCAAGTTACTCTTGAAGTTATTTGTGCTGCAAGTGAGGAGGTAGTACTGGAGGACAAACCACATAACCTGGCTGGTTTGGTGTATTCCAGGATGGCTCTGGAAAAAAACCCATCAATATTACATGTGCAATGTTATCTCAAAGCTGTTAAAACTTCCCTTTATCACTCTTCTTCTTGGAGTTGCACTTGGAGAGGATAAGGAAAATGCCCAGTGTTCACAATCTCCATGCAAAGGTACAATATAGAATAGAAAAGAGCAGGATTTTAAACACTGCTAAGTAGGTGGCAGGTGATACCAGGGAAAGTCGATTGGTACAGGCTGTGCTGACAGAGATCTCTGCACCACCTGTAAATGGGGATTTTGGACTCCCTTAATCTGAAACAAGCAATTAAATGACAGTTGGAACAGTTTTTTTATCAGACTACCACCTGTGTACTACCTGGCTCTGTTGGAAAGATGTCTTGCTGAGCCGAGGCCTTCTCCACCACTGTTCCCAAAGCTACAGGGCAAGGGAATAGTGTGGATTAATCCCGGAGGCAACTGTCTCAGCTCCCACGAAACTCAGTGCAAATGTTAGGTGAGCCACTAATCACACTGCTGTTGTAGGCATTTATTAGGACTCAGGTGCTTTTTTTTTTTAAATTTATCTTTTTAACCTAAAATGCTGTCTTTCCTTTCATTCTTGCTGTGTTAAAGGTTGCACTTAGCAGCCTGGTCTAATGTAATGTGATCCTGCACGTGGCAGGGGGCTTGGAAATACTACTTCAAGGTGCCTTCCAACCCAAACCAATCTATGATTCTCTTGTATAGCACTGCTGTGGGGGTATGATGTAGCTGTTTTTAAAAGAGAAAAGGGAAATACAGGCTTGAACCACTTAGAGCCTGTAACAGCCCCAGGTGTGCAATTTGCAATGTTTGTCAGTGGTTAGGGATGCAGATTACTTACAGGAACAGAGGTGAGCATGGTGATGTCTTCTGCCCTGCACCTGCCAAAGTAAATATTTGACTGAGAATCAATCAGAGCTGTGTACTTTCAGGTGTGTGACAGCTTTGGAAGTCACTGAGATGAATGATCAGCTCCATCCCCATGTCAACCAGCCTGCTTCAAAACCTGCAGTGAATGTACCAGAGGAGTTGTGGGGAGGACAGCACAGCTTACAGCAGAAGGAAGGCAGGAATGCTGTAGCAGAGAGCGGGGATGAGGCTTTGCACAACCTGGTCTAGTGGAAGGTGTCCCTACCCGTGGCAGGGAGATTGGAATCAGGTGGTCTTTAAGGTCCCTTCCAACCCAAATCATTCTATGATTCTATGGAGCTGGGCCCTAGAATATATCTTGAAATAATAGGAAGATGGAAACATTTACTTTTAGACGTTGATGTTTTCCAGCTAAGGATTGCATTTCTTCCTGTGGTGTTCTGCACCATGACAACCTGCTGGCATACGTAGGGAATGCAGAAGAGGGGCAGGGAAGGGGGGATGCTTGTGCCCTTGACCAACTGACAGCCCCCTTTATCCTCCAACATAGTGTCTGTTTGCAGGGGCAGAAAGGGCTTTGAAGGCTGTGGAGTTCTGGAGGTGCACCAGCCTGTCCCAGGTGCAGTAAATTGTGGACTTAGGTCTATAAGTAGGATAAATACCATGGCCCTGAGGCACTGGGATGGGGATAGGAAACCCTAGATAGAGAGAGCTGGCACAGAGACACTGGAAATGAGGCAAGCGGGGAGGAAGCGCCCTTTAAATTATAGAAGGGAGAATAGAAAGACCTGAAAAAAAATCTCAAAGTGAATGCCATTACTTTTTGACTAGAGTTTTGGAAGTAGTGTTGAATTCTCACTTCGAAAATGCCACAGTTCCTTCTTTTGTATAAGGACATTATTATAACCCCATTATCATAAGATGTAAAAATAGCTGTTTCCGTCTCCTGCTAAACCCCCTTTTGATGTCTCATTTCTAAGCCTGAACTCCTCTCTTTATTCCTCTTTGTTCAAGTGCTCCCCTCATGCAGCATTAGTAGGACCTGAAGCAACATGAAGTTAATGTTTATTTTACAAGGAGCTGGGGTTGCAGTGTTCACTGCTTTAATGTTCAATTTTTTAAAAGAACCTCTAATAATTTTATTATCAAGAATATGTGGAACAACACTGATGTGTAACAAGAAATTTCTTTTGCTTTTTTTGAAAATTATGCTTTGAATATATGTGCTGGCTCAATAGCAATTGTTGTTTGAAATGAAAATAACTAAATCATCCTTGGAGCAGGACTTCACTAAAAGAAACTTGTGCAGCCATATCACGTGCACCTTTGATCTTTTTGATTTGCTTACATTATAAGGATCAGTCCTATACAAACTGAGATCTTATTGTATTGTCTAAATAATAAGTGAATGAAGGAACAGCTGGGTCTCTGAGAGAGAATTTGTCACCTGAAAATTGACAGGAGCTGTGTTGTCTGGAGCAGTAAATTTAGAGGACAGGAAATCAAGCATGTTGAACTTTCAGACTCATTTCTTATACATAGTCTTTGAGCTCATCTGTATTCTTGAGCACCCACTATGTACTCTCAAGAAACAGGCCCAAGTTTTTTCAATCAAGACCCTAAAAGCAGCTCCTGCCCAAACAGCACTTCCCTTCTCCCTTCCCAGGCTGAGCAGAGTCCAGGATCAGTTGCTGTAGTTAATCAAGAATTTTGACTGTCTCCAGATGAGAAAATAGCAGAGGAGTGTTTTTATATTATAACAACATCTTCAGAGCCTTGTCAGAGCCAGGGCCAGATTGTGGCAGATGCTGGCCAAAGAGAATCCGGCTTTAAAGAAATAGTGCTGCATTCTCACTGTGAGCAGATGATCAGCCTGCACAC